CAGAATAAAATGTAGGGACCATCACTTACCCTGGCGTCCTGCTGTCCATAAAGAGCAAGTAATTCATTACTGTCACCGTGACCCGAGGTGGCTCAGATTGTTAATGTAAAGATGCACACGGTGCAAACGCCCTCCGGTGACGGCATCTACATCCAAGAGTTAAATGTTTCAACATTGTTTTACGACATTTCATTATATGTTTTGATAATTTTGTGGATTCACACACGTGGCATTTCGGTGAAAGGCGCTTGTGTACGTGTTGTAGATCAAGATGTCGGGGCGTGATCCTGGGGCAACTATTCTCTCGCATCTACATGATGTCGGGCTCCGTCTGACAGCCGTGTAAAATAACCGTTTACATTATAGCCTGACAACGCTGTACTGACATCTCCATTTCCCATGTGACCCTGTGAAATAACCCTGTCAAAAATATATTACAATCCACACTTATGACATTCTGCTCTCTTCAGTCACACAAGGTCAGCGCAGTCGACGACGCGGACTGTTGCAATTTTAATGACATCAGCAGTCGTTGCGGGTAAAAACGTATTTTTCGAAGAAAAAAAAAAAAAAAAGAGGAAGCCATGTCAGCTAAATCTGCTTCCTCTTCGGACCGTGTGAGTGTGCGTGTCTTAGAAGACAAAAAAATAAAGATGAAAAGGAGGAAAAACAGCATCGGAGCTTTCAGTCAGCGTGTATTAGATTTATCACTTGCTTGTCCCTACACCTTGTTGATGCCTGCGGTGTCTGACTACATCGGTATAGGAGCGAGGCCTAAGCTGTGACTATGACATCTTTCTTGGTGCATTATCTTCGCACTCAATCTCCTTGGGAGTGATGGAGTGCACGGAGAAAGTGCTTCCGCCGATTACGTCCAAACATGTAACCAGACATTGCTTTTAGGGGTCGGCTGTTAACAGGGTTGACAATGCTCTTTTATAGCCTTCCAATTGAATATTCCCCCCAGCTTCCCCGCTGCAGAGGCCGTGTCAGTACAGCAGAGAGCTCCATTATTTTTTTAACAGAGTTGGCTGGACTTTTCTATATTCTATATTTTACCAGCACTTAATGGCTGTCACTGGTTTCTAACTTTAGTGAATACACTTCCACCGAAAGATTTCTATCTACGACAGTGACGGTGTTTTCTTCTCCGCGCCTAAACTTTCAAGTCGTTCAGGTTGACAGAAGTGTGAAGTAAAAACACGTTGAGCTTCAATTATTCGTTTGATACTTTTGGCTGTGGCTAGCGACATCTTAACTTCGTACAAAGGCTAAAAGTTAAGAGGGAAGGGTTGAATTTGCTTGAGGTGTGAAGTCAAACACATTTGAATCGACATAACCGGTGATGGATTTAGCGAAGGCAACACTGCTATTTATCCACCTTTGATTGGCAGGTTAGCTTATCTGGCCTAACAATATGCAGTGTTGGCAGCCAGTAAATTAGAACATGTGAATATATACATAAATGCAGTGCCTTAAATTTTGATATTTACATATTTTTCTTGGTGTAGGTCTTTAATGAAGGATGAATTCACCCTGTGTCTTTATACCTCTTAATGCAGGAGGTCCTCGGTTTACAACGTCCTTGACTTATGGCGCTTTTTGGTTACGTCGCAATCTCCCATGAATTTAAGAAAGGCTTGTTCCATCATTCTGACACGCGGCTTTGTTAACATTTGCATGTTGTATGCGAAACATTGGATTATGCTACATTTGCTTTCTGTCACCTTTCTGTTTCACCTCTTCATCCAAGAGGCTTCTTCAAATCTAACTACTGAAAAATATTCTGTAGAAGACAGATGGGGACAAATTAGGAATCTGTAGGTTTTGGTTTGATAGTAGCTTAAAGCACAGTCAATGTTAGCATTGGAAAAAAAAGAGAAAAAAAAAAAAACAACAGGAATGAGGATCTACTGTCAAAAATAAAGTAATGTGACATGTCAAGACCCAAACAACGGGAATGAGGATCTACTGTCAAAAATGTCAAAAGTAATGTGACATGTCAAGACCCAAAATGCAGATATTGATTTGCTTTGTTTTCTTCGTTCTGTTGCAAAGACTTAAACGAAAATAAAACCTTTGAATGCTCACAAATTAAATTCACGGAAATGCACGGCAATATAATTATAAGACACTCGCTGCATAAATAATAAATCCGGAACACTCAAGCCTATTGTACAAGTGTTTTTTTGTGATTAGAGGAATATTTTTTAGCATATACTAAATCACCCAGATCAAGTGCCTGTGTCGCTGATATCATCTTAATTGCTGATGTGGAGATAGCACTTAACACCTCGCAAGGAAAAACACTGATAAATTAGAGCACATCTTAATAGTCCCGCACCATAGTACATTTAACAAAAACATTCATATAGTAAATTGTAATAAATTTCATTGCTAAGGTCAAAGCAATGCGACCTGGGAATATGCAGTGAGGCTTAGACTCTGTTGTTACAGATCATGTGGGTTAATAAAGCAGGCAGTTTGAATCTTCACTTGGTATTTGAAAGTTAGTTACTAAAATATACAGGTCCTCGGTTTACGACGTTCTCGACCTACGGCGTTTCATAGTAACGTAGAAAATATCTTTCCATCATTCTGACGTACGACTTTAAAACAAATTTCGCACGGCAAGTAATCACAGACGGAGCAGACCAAAACGTCGCCATGCAGCGTTGTATGCAGAAGATGGCTTTGTTGTGCTACATTTCGCTTTTGTTTCTTTTGTGTTGTTTTTTGCCCTTCATCATCAGAAAAACTCTGACCATCCAACAAATATAATATGTGACCGCCTGGCATATGAGATGATTCAAACATCCTTACTCTTTGCTTTTCCTGCAAAGAGAGCCCAATAACAAGGTGTTGTAATTGTTAGTATAGACTCACTGCTTTTTATTAAGTCAACTTTATTAACTCCGTGACAGTGCTTCCCCTCAGCTAAGTCATATTCTCAAACACAACAACAGAGCAGAGACTGCGGCTGAAGGAGCGTCGTCTTGGTTCTTGAGAGGAATGTCGTTTAGTGCTTTTGTTCTCCTTTTAATGGGAAGCCAGTGTAATTACACATATTAATTGGTTCTCTGTAATGGAATAAATAAAAGTGACAGGATAATTAAAATATGCGTTCTCCGTTCCCCGTTAGACAATAAAGTGTATGATTAATTACAACTTTTATTGGCTCTCCTTCTAGTCTGTAAATCAGAAATAATAATTTGATTGCGTCAAAGAATTAAAGGTAGTAATGTTGCTGTTTGTAATGGAGTGAAACATCCACATATGAGGGAGACAAAGCGTGATTGCTGATTTATTACATATATTTGATACAGCTACTGAGCTGTTTAATAACTCTTTAATTGTATTTCCGACAACAGTCGTTACAATCATAACATATTTAACTATAAATAACAATAAATCCGTGTTTTTTCAGGCAAACAAACTCAAGTATATACAATATTATTATTATTATTTGCTCATATTGAATTTGAGCCATATTGAATTTTACAAAAAGTATCCTAAACATGAAGTGTTTGCATATTTTGATTATTTTTAAAATTCATCAAGCGGACCCGAAGTGTTTGCATTTTTTAATTATTTTTAAAATTCATCAAGCAGACCGGATTGAACACCCTGGTGGGCCGGTTTTGGCCCCCAGGCCCTATGTTTGACACCGTTGCTCTAAAGTAACGCAGATGCCTCTTTTGCAATGACAGGGTGAAGCACAATTTGCAGTCAGAGAGAACTAGAAGCGTTGTCGCCCAAAATATAGTGCTGAAATCAAACGAGAGGCGCTGTCAAGTCTGATTTTTATTACAAGATATAATGTTGGAAAAGAACATTTGTCATTTTAATTTACTTCTATTTTTTACTGTGGGGAATCTTTTTAACAAATGTCATGTCATGTCAGATGAAGTGCACTAACATCATTCACTTGTTGCTACAACGAAATTCAACATAATTAAAAACAAAATGTTCACAATTCTCTGCCGTTCTGTCGCTGTTGCGCCTGAAAAATAACCCCTGCATGACTTTGACAACTGACTGTTACAGACTTAAGACCTAATTTCTTCATTGACATTGGAAAATTACGTCTAATGCAATATCCACTACACAAAGCATTGTTTCCCAAAGACTGGGTATAGAGACCCTCGAGATTTTTTTTTGTGGTCGTCTCGCATCATATTTCCCAGGAATTTACGAATAATGTCTATGGACTTGGAACTTAAAATATGGGCCCCAGAAAAAAAGTTTGGGAAACACTGACATGAAGGATATGCAGTAGTTAATTTTTAGAGACCACGAGTCTCAAGCTCTGAGCTGAGGGCCGCTTCTGCCACTATCCTTTTTTTGGCAGGGTCACATCAGTGTTCTTTAGCAGTTAAATATTTTAATTAAAAAAGAAAAAATATGTTTTATTATTATTTAAATTACATCAATAGCAAAGTTAAATTATTACTGACAACTAACCATGGTATGTGTTATTATTATTTAAACTACATCAATAGCAAAATTAAATTATTACTGACAACTAACCATGGGGCCAAATTAGGGGAGATTATGAGCCAGAAGTAGCCCCCAGGCCATCGGTTTGAGAGCAGTGCTCTAGGCTGACTGTGGCTTAGTTAGTGCTGCAGCACAAATACTGTATTACTTGTACGCTAATATAATTAGCCGGCGCCAGCTAAATAGATAATTAAGGCTGCCTCCATGATCTCCAGCTGCTCCATCGTAGAACGGTTGACACAACAAACTGTGTCACAGTTTAACGTTGCGCACTTGCGTCCAGAGAGTCGGGGGAAGTCTGATTACTGTTAACGAATTAAATTGCAATAGTGTGATAAATAATAACCAACAAAAAATACATTTGCATTAAACTGAGATATACTAATAGCCAACAGAAAAGACGTTATCAAAGTGTAGCTCTGTGTTGAGTCCTGATACTGAGAAAGGTTTTTGCGTGGCCCATGACTTTATTCCTTTATTCAGCTTCTCCTTCTTTTCAGGGTGCCTGGGGAACTGCAGCGTATCCCAGTAGTCAGTGGGCAAGGCCGAGGTACACCTGGGACGGTACGTCAGATTCTTCTTCTTCTTTTGGTTCGGTTCCCTTTCTCAGCCTCCTTCTGCCTCCATCTACCTCTATCCCCGAACTCCTCTGCTTTTACTCCAAATATTTCCATGTGCTTTTTTATTTTACAACATCCGCAAATCTCCTTGTCTTCTCCTCATTCGTGGCAACTCCAACTTCAACATCCTTTCTGTAGTTTATTCACTAATTCTCCTCAAACTGCTCCACCTTAACTGTCCCTCAAGTCTCCTATCTTCATCTCCTCCACCTCCATCTCAGCCTTTTATCTATTAGACAGAGACACTGTGTTTGAATCATTTATCATAGCAGATCTCACTACTGCCTTTTTAATCTTTCCTTTCAACTTCAACTGGTCACTCTAAACGAAATTCTTAGCATTTTCATCCGCATTCTCCAACAGTTTTTATCAAACTGGTCGGCCTCTACCGGGCAGTACCATAGACCAGTAACGTCTCTTTCTGTCCTTGTTCCTGGCTCCTACTAATATAAACCAACCATAGATCTATAAAACGTTGGATGGAACACTGGGCCTTCATCCATTCAGCTGAATGGTGGTCATCCTAACTCTATTCCATCCTGTTTATACATTTATAAAGCCGACGGCTATCGATACTATTGAGGCTCAGTGAATCTTCAAAATAAGACATATTTTAAACTTTATTCTACATTACAAACCATTGTAATGAAATATCATATTATTATCTTTAAATCATCAAAGTGAATGAAAATGACAAGAATATTTTTAAGTCGCTGCTGCATGGTACCAAATGACCCACGGACTAGTACCGGTCCGCAGACCAAGGCTTGACTTAAATGATTTTCAGTGGTAAAGCAGAAAGTAAGAGCATTCCATTGTATTGACATTCTTATATAGCCTATTACACAGAATCCCGTCCTGTTATCGTAAATATAGGTGTTAATGTCAACGCCAAGACTTTGTCAGGTTTAAAGGAAATTAATGAGTTACGTGTATTCTTCTGACAGGTTTTCAAACATAGCTGAAGGCTATATATAGCATCATGCCAACATCATGCAAGAGTAGCAGTCAGAGAAATGCGACACTTGCATGGTGGAACCACAGCTCCATATATGGTCAAACGGAGTGTTGATGGCAGACAGGACAGGGCATTTTCAATTTTTTTTGTTAAAGCTCTGCTGAGTAAAAAACAAAAAAATGGTGTTTGGTGAGTCACTGCAGCTGGTTCTAAAAACTACACTACTTGTTTCACACCACATAAAAAAAAACCCGCTACCTCCTGCAGTGTGTGCTGTTACAGTTACGAAGTGCCTTCTTTCCAGATTCTGCACAGAGCACTCAGACTTTTACTGAGCTTTTTACCCTCCTGGCCCATGCCTCAGCTGGCAGAGGGGTCGGTGAAGCAAGATGCCTGTGTCTGTGACTAACACGGACTCTTCATGCTCCAGGCAAATCTATACAGCCGTGCATACATGAGCAATATCTACATGCTGGTCGTTTGTGACTGGTAAATGTACCATCGCATCTTACATAAACAGGATTTTTGTTACTTCAGTGTGTACTCATTCTATCTGTGTTTAGTAGAGTTGAATGAATTATGTATAAAGGATATGTATTTTATAACTAAAAGCCAACAATACTTTGGGTTATTTGTGTTCTCAGCAGCAGAATCAAAATAAAACATATTTTAGGCCAGGGGTCACCAACTTGGTGCCCTGGGGATACCTGGTTGCCCCCATGGGGTCTGTCCTAAAAATAAAACTAATGTATTTTCTGGACCATAAGTTACACTTTTTTTCATCCTTTGGCTGGGTTTGTGACTTATACTCAGGTGCGACTTATATATTAAAATATATAATTTCACATGTTTTTATATTTTTTATTTTCACACTGACAGCCGCTAGAGGGCACTGATGCAACTTATGCTCTGGAGAGACTTATAGTTCAGAAAATACAGTAGTCAGTTAAAGGGTCAACAATTGTACTCTTTTTGAATGATGCGATGATATTCAAATGGGTGCAGTGACGATGGTAAGAAGAATGTCTACTATTGTATTTTTTAAAACCTATTATTATTACATTGTTCCATAAAGGTTGGTGACCCCTGTTTAACAACTGTTTTAAGAGATATTGAAAGAAAAAAAAAGAAGCTTTTCACATAGTAATGATGTACTGTAACAGTAACGTCCATGTCGTGTTTTCAATATTTACTATTGCCTGTCTTTGCAATTCATCGTAAAACAAACCTTTGAAAACAAAAAAACGGTAATGTTTATAGGTAATGGCTCCCAGACTCCAACGCATATGTTCATCAGTCATTTAGGAAAATGATTGTAAACATATTTGTACATTAGTCCTAGTTTACTGCTCCCATAAGGCTGTGGAGGACGCGCTGTATTTACGGCCGAGTGTCTCTGCAGATTATTTTAGGAAGTGTTGTGTGAATCATCAACCCATATCTGTCACTTTCACTCTGAGAATTTTCTCACTTTTCTGACATGAACTAAATCGTGGAGTAAATATTTACAGTGGATTAATCGCCCTGTGCTGTAATTGACATCATCATTTATCCCATCACGGTGTCGTTAGGCAATTCTTCACAGTGCCTTCATGAAACCTCATCAGAGCATGCATTAATGTTTCTAATATCAGCTAATGGAGAAATCAATGCTGGGTTAACGATAAGGGTGAGAAGGATTTTTAACGGAGCATATTATCACGGTCAACCCCTGGTCCAGGGACCAGTGTTGGTCCATTGGGTATTTGGTACCAGGCCACATTGGGACACTGTGAAAAAATGTACTTCAGTTTTACTAATTTACTTCTTTCAAACATAATCCAGTCATATCCCTTTACTTTTTTCGTTCAAAAATAATCTGTCAATTTTTCAATCAGATACTAACATAAGAAATTCTAAAATGTTTTTTTTTTATTGAAAATGTAATAATCCTTCAAGTTGTCACGGTATTACCTTTCGCAGTAACAGCTGATACCGGCCGACCGGTCCTTGGTACAAAAAAGGTTGTGGACTGCTTAGATAGAGGATGTGAACATATTGTACTCGACTTTTTTTTGAGGTAAATGATGGGTTTCTTTATTAAGAGGGGTCAAAGGTCTGAAAGTCTGTGAAACAAGGAAACTTGATGAATGAGAATTCCATCAGGAAAATAAACAACTGGACCAAATTAATGTGAAAAGGTGAAGTTCGAAGGGATGCACAAGGAAGGGACACCAGCACAAATAACACTAGGAATACACAGGGGAAGGATGGGACTGCTGTCACAGGGGACAACCAAAAAACTGGCACAGCAGGTAGGAAGGACGCAGGTTATACACACAAAACGGCCGGATAACTAGCATGACACAGGTGACACAGATTCAGGCAGGTGGAAGCGATCACAAGGACGAGTAGAAGTAGGCACAGAACTGGACTGGAGCGGTGAGAAGCAACGGTGGGAACAGTGGGAAGAAAAACCAAGGACTTTTCTGACAATAGGGAGAATCATAGAACCAAAGACAGACTAAAAAACCGGGGGAGAGGAGGGAGGTGCAATAACTGCAATAACAATAAATGTGCAGTTTCTTCTTATTCATGGTATGCTTGTTATCATACCTATCTGTCTGTCCGTCCGTCTATCCGTCCATCTATCTAGTTATCAAAACTTAGATAATTGGTTACCTACAGTCAGGCAGGCAGACACCGGCTGCATGAAACAGTGCATTCCATTTCAGATTCATGTGGGTGCCGCCGGACGTCCCAAAAGAGATCGCAGTTTCTCATTTATTCACTAGGTGCCCTTGTTCTTTGGGGCCACATCCCAAAGGGTACAAAGCCATAAGGAACTGACACTGTCATCCTCTGGTCTGGAGGTAGGAATCAAACTGTCCTGAATAGGATAATGAGGCTGCTTTGAGGTTTCCAGGTGAAAATCTAAATTAAGGCTCCTGCTACAGGTCCTGGACCTGGACGCAGAGGCGCTCTTCTTTCTTAGCTTTTCGGTAACCTGTAACCCCGTATTAGACATCGGCACTGATTCCATCTTTATCTCACATTTTCATTTCATTTATATAATTTTTCTACACATTCTGGATGTTAAAAACAGGCACTTGTTAGTCTGAAGTGACAAATTGGATTCCCTTTTTAGTCATGTTCGACATTCCTTACAAATATGTTCTTTTTTCTTCTTTGCCTTGGCGAAGCTAAATTTATGTCAATTATTTTTCTATCAAATCATTCACTATGTTAACGATACGGTTGCTTTTTCCATTATCTTAATCAGGTTACGTTCAACCTAATTTAAATATTTGAAATACAAACTCTGCATATCAGGTCTCGTACTCCTTGTGGAAGGCAATATCACTGCACTTCTCCTTTACTACAGACTCGAACTCATTGTAAGCAAAAGAGTGAGCGGCCCCTCCATTTGAAAATAGCAGTCATTTCAAGCACTCAAACAGATGACTTTCGCCATCGTTCCTTCTGTCTGGCTAGCGCTTCTAATTCTCCTCCACTCACCGTCAAAAGAGGAAAAATCTCCCTTGTCCGCTGCGTCCCACGATAAAAGCAAAATATCATTAGCATCTCGAGGAACTGACTAAGAGACTTTGTACAATGCTTTTCATGTAGCGCATAACCTTGACAAAGATGCACCATATGGCCGACTCCAAACAGCAGCCAGGCATATGTTTATTACATGGTCTGATCCGGAGAAAGTCCGTGTTCTGAAGATACTTTAAAAAGCCCTTATGTTTAGAATATAAATGGAAAAAAGTCTTTTTAAAGTATCTTTAAAAATTCAAAGCATGTGCACCATCTAGCACAGGTTAGCAAGATAGGCGGAGCATCGCTCAAAAGCCTCTGGAATAACTTTGCCTGAAAACACAAACACACAATGACAAATGTTGTAGGTCAACAAATTTGTCAAGTAGTTCTCTAAAATTACTGAACTATAGCATAAAAAATATAGCCGTAGCTAAGTATGCTAAAACTGCTATTTAGCTAAACAGATATTAGCCCACAAGATTTTAAGTGAAAAAGTATAGATCTTTTTTTTTAAATTTCATTTTAGTTCCAGAGCTTTCCTTCAGTTACTTTGGTGACTTGGAACAAATTTTTTGATCGCAATAAAATCTCAGTTTATAACAAATAAAACAAAACAAACAATATAATACACGCTGTTGAGATTGAGTAATGATAATTGTAAGAGTTCCACACTTCTAAACAAGCATTTCCTGTCCTTAACTCAAACAAAATAGACTACCGCAGGTTTTCAGTCTCCTACGATACTTGCTTATTTATAAACCAGTCACGCTGTGTTGCGTTTACATGCTGTTAATTTCCTCGCCGTTAAGCTGATACGGTTGTATTTCTATCTGTCACTGTGAAGGCTTTGCTATGCGCTAAGAGTAACTGAGGACACAAATACAAAGGCAGAAGGGCGGCCACTCACGATGATTAATACTGTTTACTTGCGCGATACATATGAGAAGCGGTAAACGAGCATTATCAGCACAAAGACACAGACATCGCAGGGCAGGTGCGGCCAGGGTGAAAGGCTCATCGACCCGTTGGATGGTACTGAGCAGGAAGGTGGCCGTATCATCTGGGAAAGGAAGACGCTGATCAATCGAACATACATCTGTTATGCGATTTCACAATTCATCGTATCATCTGGGGAAAGGAAGACGCTGATCAATCAAACATACATCTGTTATGCGATTTCACAAACTCAACTTATTGCAGATGTTGTCAATGGGCTGCTTCAACCACCACTAATGAATCGTTATCATTTTTTTGAGTTAATTCTGTTTTCCAAAAAAACCCTGTCAATTTTTTTTTGCTAGTGAAATCCTTCAGCTGACGCAGATGTGCAGATTCACAAGTTGGGTAAAAATAGATCTGTGCATTGGGTATAAAATGTGTCTTGAAATGTTCCAGAATGTTCCATGTACTTTTTTCACACTGCACTGAAAAAGTCAGCCATATTTGGAGAATATTGACTATTAAAAATCTCTTTTTGTTTTCACTGGAATCAACCATCTTCTTGGTCAGATCTTAGTCACAACCTTTAAAATCCCCTTGTCTTATGACATTTAATTAGAAGACAAATATAAAAACCCTGCAACCACATAAATTAGAGGCTCAGGTAAAAAGATAGGAGACAAAAAGTAATTTTTGCAGTGTTTTCAATGCAGGTAAACTCAGGTGGTGACCTCTGCAGAGTAGCAGCCAATGTGTGCAATCTAAGCAAAAACATCGCTGAGACAAATTACAAGGAAAAAGTGTGTGAGTGTGTGGTTGAGAGAGTGTATAGAGGTGAACCAAACCCTTAGTCAAAATTAACAGAATTTTTGTTCAATCTGACCTGCTTGATGAATTTTGAAACGGAAGTGAGAAATCCTTTTAAACCAGCAGAGAACTCAGCTATTGATTTTAACTGCACAAATAAAAAGAAAAATATTATTATTACTTGTTATTTATTCACATTTATCACTCCCTTTCCCCCAGTTTACTCTCAAACTATTAAAAGTGGAACAAATGCAAACGCCGAGTGACAAAGATATCACCTTCAGCCGGATCAACACAGGGAAATGGTTACAAGGCCCACAGCAGCTCTAGGCTTTGAGAACTAGGCAGCAGCTCAACCCTTTCCCTGGAGCCTTTACCTACAAAGCATAGCCTTTCATTATTCATAAAAGTATGTGCTTACAAGGTGGCTTTTCTGTTGGACTGTGGAGGGAGGGAAGGCGCTGATCATCCTTTTCAACTGTGTTGCCACTTCACCGCTCTCCTGTAAAGGCACAGGACGTGTATGTAGAACCCAGGGCTCAATATCGAGCCGCTCATGAATACACATGACGTTTAAAGAGGTGTTGACACAAGTGTTCAGGGGAAGCGAAAAAAAAAAAGTCTCTACTTCTTCCTACTACTTTTTCACACATGGATCTAATGGCAGTTATATTGCTTGGCTTTTTTGTTATCTTTTCTACTACTCCTCCTTTTCACTGTATATGTAGACATATATACATGGGGTCCTCGGTGTACTGTGTTCTCAACCTACAGCGCTTCGTGGTTACAGCTGTAAATTTATTAAGTAAATCTTGTTCCATTGTTACGATACGGCTTTAAAACAAGTTTTGCATGGCGTTTCAACATACGGCTTTAAAACAAGTTTTGCATGGGAATTAGTTGGCAAGTTGTGCGGACAAATACGTCATCATTCAGCGCTATACATGGAAGACAGCTTTATTTACCTTTGCTGGTTGTACTCCATACATTGAATTTGTTTTGGTTTTTTTGGAAACTCTTTGCCCTCCATTATGACTCCCAGGCGTAAGTCAGACTCTTCTGATGTGATTTACTGCAGACTGGAAATACCACGCCATCACTGAAACTGCGGACTGGAAATACCACGCCATCACTGAAAGATCATTACATTTTCCAAAAAAATTTTTTTTAGACTTTATTCTGTTAGTATCGTCTGAAACACAGATTGTTTTGGAATATTTTTTGATGAAAAAAGTAAAGGGATTTGACAGTAAATTAGTAAAAACTGAAGTTCCTGAGGTTTTTTTAGTGTCCCACTGCGACCCAGCACCAAATGAACTACGGACCGTCACCGGTCCCCAGACCGGGTGTTGAAAACCCCTGTCCAAGATTATGTTGTTACCACTGTGTTCGGTGACTTACACAGGTACTTATGGACAGTATGTGACTTTCGACTTACTGCAACAGTCGAGTTACCTCACACCGTAGGAACAGAATTCCGACCTTAGTTGAGAGCGCTTTTTTTTTACCTGCCAAAGTACAAAAAGCACCGTAGGAACAGAATTCCGACCTTCGTTTTTTTTTTACCTGCCAAAGTACAAAAATATCACTTGTGGTCAAGATTATAGAATTCAAGATCAAAAATTGTATTGCCAGTGTCTTTTCCATGTCTTTTCTTCTTTAAATGGCGTCCTAGTGAGCTAATGTGAGCAGGAAAAGTTGTGGATAATTCAGACTGAGTGAACGCTCAGTGGGTGAGTGTCTGATGCCTCTGCCTGCCTCAGTGTTCTGGACATTCCCCCGCAGTTGTAAATAAGTCTGTCTCAGACAATGAGTCTCCCGCTGTGTGACGTCGATGTCAATCCTCAGAAAGACGAGAGGACACATTTTCATTTCTTTGATTTTTCTGCCAAACCCATGTAACTCCTCATGTGTGGTGTGTGGTTTAATAAAGAGACTATGGTCTTGCACTGTAAACACAATTTTTCTGTACTTGGTGGTTGAGTTATAACACAGCATTCTCCCTCGGTTGAGAAAGAAATGGCCTTCATCGTGAATCATGTTGGACTTCTGTATCTCCATTATAGAAAAACAAACTTTAGCCAAAACACAGAGACACAGAGAGGCTGTCAGAAAACTATGGCACCAGATAGAGAGGAGCATTAGAGAGCTGTTTGTTTTCTTCAGGGGTGAAACAAAACATACAGTTTGGAAGTGTTGAGGGTGAAGGCAGCTGTCACTGTCGTGGTGATGCAACTTAAAAATGAGATTTAACAGAAGTCAGAAAAAAAAACACAGGAGGCAGTAGAGCGTGTCAGAGTTGTCTGACTATATTTATGTTAATTTCACGGAGTCAGAGGATGGGAAATTGTATCAAAAGCCTCCTATCTGTCAACTTTAATGAGCATTCCATGAAGCCGGGAAATGAAACGTTCAGTTTTCCTGTACAGTAACATATTAGGTTTCTGTCTGGTGAGTTGGCTTACTTACCGCAGGAGTGTGTTTTATAATAAACCAAGCTTCCTGACAACAATAGAGTATACATAGAATTTGAAGTGCTGCTTTACTTAAAACTATATGCAGATGACTGTATGCTCTTTTTTGATGCCTGTGTCGTGACTTTCAGATTCTCTGACAATCAATGTCATCTGACAACCATCAGCTACCCATGATGGGACCCACCTGCAAAATCTACCTCAATGCCAGAGTGATGTTTATTCTCCGTCTCCGCCGGCGGCCAAGGTAAACAGAAATGCTTTTTATCCTCAACCAAGAAACATTTTCTGAATAATTTCTCTCAATTTTGTTATCATACACATATCAAAGAGTTGCTTTACCACTGACGTTGTACAGGGCACCTTGACATTTACATCAGAATTCTGTTCCTACGGCGTAATGTAACTTAATCACATACTTGGCGCCTCCAAGGGGAAGCCTGTTGTAGCAAATCTGCTGCTAACACAAGAATTTCTCAAGTGCGGGATCAATAAATTTCAATTTAATTTATTTTTTTTATTGAGAGGTGGTGATGTAACCATAAAACGCCCTAGGTCGAGGATGTCGTAAACCATTGTTTCCAGAAAAAAAAAATCCCAACTGAATCAAGTCTTTTGCATTGAACTTACCATTTTCTCTCTTGGCTGCCTCTTGGTTCGGATCTTTGCACATTTCGTCACACAGCCGGGGAGTGATGTTGTTGTTCCCTGTATTCACTATCACACACAGGTGAAACATTTGTGTGATTGAAGCTGGCTGCACAATGTACTGTATTTGCCGTGAGCCACACTCTGTCATTCATGTTTCTGTGGCCTGAGGGAGGGCAGACTTCTCAGAACTGCAGCAGAACAATATTTCACCATAGGAACTTGTTGTGAACTTTCATTCTTTTTTTTTTTTCTTTTTCAACTCTCCGTTCCCCAAGTTGTCTCACTTTATATATAGCCCAATATATATATATATATATATATATATATATATATATATACATATATATATATACATATATACATATATATATATACATATATATATATATATATA